TTTAGATGAGTCACCATCACTTTGATTGTTCAAAAACATTCATGAAAATCGTGTTTCGTGTCGACCCAAATGCCATATGCAATTTCTATCGCTTTTGTTAAACAGTGATTCCGGTTATTGGTAAAGACTATACATAGATTTTAGTCACACTGTATTCTATTTTTCTATGATAAAATACTTCAGATTGATCGCTATTATTAATTTGATTTATATTATTGTGTTCACATTACATATATTTAACTTTTGAAGGGGGGTCCAAATCCGCCAACGGGGGTCCGTATTTACTAGTAGATTTGGACCCCCGGGGGTCCATATCTGCTAGGAGATTTGGACCGGGGGGTCGATATCTACTAGTGGATATGGACCGGGGGTCCAAATCTACGGGGGTCCAAATCAACTGGGACACCGGCTGGTAGCCGCGATGTATTGTACAGTATACTACCGACAGGCTCGGCTGACACTCGTATTGCATTGTAGTATTTTATTACAGTTAAATAACCCCGGCTGGTAGCCGTGATGCATTGTAGTATACTATAGTATACTACAGACAGGCCCGGCTGATAGCCGTGTTGTCGGCTGGTAGCCGTGATGTATCGTAGTATACTACAGTATACTACCGACAGGCTTGGCTGACACTCTTATTGCATGGTAGTATTGTATTACAGTTAAATAACCCCGGCTGGAAGCCGTGATCTATGCCGCGATGTATTGTAAGTATTGTATTAAAATGTAGATACGGCTCGGCTGCTACTGTACCCTTGGCCGTGTACGATGGTGTACGTATTTACGCAATCCGTTTAATCGCGCTGGCTAAGAATAACCTGTATATATACAATAAATTAACATATTTTCCGTGTAAAGACGTGGTGGCGCAGAGGGACAAGACCCAGCGTGTATGCTGAAGGTTGTGAGTTCTGTCCCGGAATGCGCGCAAACGAATTTGAATATTTTTTTTGCCGAAATTGTTTTTTTTTCTCGTTTATTTACCTGTCGCATAGCTAGCTATATGCATTGGGAAGATGAATTTAGATGCATTTCGATGATTTTCGGAAAATTTAATGTAATTTTGGTGGTTTTCTGCTTATGAAACATTCTAGAACCAGTCTCCGAAATGCGCGCATTTTTTGAACGAATAGTATACTATAGTACAGCCCGGCTGGCAGCCGAGCAATCGGAGACAAAATTTCCGGCTGTCAGCCGGCGTCAAACGCGCTAATCGGGTGGACCAGACCTGCCAAGGTTCCCGCATTTCGCGTGAAAGTTACGCATTATGCTTTTGTTCCCGCTGTCCCGCACGCATAACTAAAATGATCTTAAAGTGCTACTGCAGCGAATTTTTCGACCCTCATTTTTTTAGCTTAATTAAAAGTGCTTTCCTTCCTGACCTGTTTACCACAAACAGAATTGAGATTGGTCAATTCAAACCGATTTTATAGCCTTCCAAAGTGGCCATTTTTGGCACTTCCTGTGCGAACTTTTGATCGGCCATGTTGATGCCATGTGACGTCATAAGATGAACACGATTTTATCATGGCGTATTAAAATTATAGTAAAACCAACAAACGCGGAGACGAAGGCCGTGTTTCTGGCAGTTCTAACTTAGATTATTGCACGAATTCTGAACAGCCTGAAGGAATACGCATGCATCCATTTCCCAACAAAGAAATAGATCCACAGAGTGAAAGAAAGGCAGTGAATTTTATCCGTAAACATTGACCGCGGGTTTTCACGCATCTGCGAACCTAGTACTAGTAGTGTTTTGATTGACCCCGTTTTGAAGATTCGTGCTATATCTTATTTTCATCGACAAAACCTCGTAAAATGGAAAGAATACTGAAGGAAGAAACTGTTTATACAATTTACATGGCTAGAATTGTTCCCCTGGCTAAAGTACAACTAACAGACGCAAGGCAAATAATTCAGGTATATATAGTGAAGTACAAATGAATATGTTCGCACACTGACACATGGTGAATATTTTGCGCAAATGCTATATTATTAGTCTAAAGTGTTTAACATTTCTTATGTTTTAGAGCATTTGTGGTTGTAAAAAGGCTATCTCCTGTTAAGTTACTTTCTTGTCCAGAGCATCTTGAGATTGAAAATTTGAAATAAAGACAACAATTCAGCATGCCTTGACGTCTTGAGTGCTTGACCTAGTTTCGTCAAGACTTCTGATGTTATTTTGAGAGAAACGATGACATTGGAGTTATATTCAGTCATATCAATAATACATATTGCATAGTATAAAGTAACAATAAATATAATAATACAATAGTATAATATTGTACTGGTACGCTATTATGTGAGAAATATATTTGTGTCTTTGAAGATTAATATAATTTCAAAATATTACAGTAAATGTGATATTGCACAGTGGCACAATTTTGACTCAATGGTTAACTGACTCAGTCACAATCTGCATAATCCAACTAAAGTCGACCGCTTTTCTGTTCAAACGTAAGGCAGCTGTGTCTTTGTTGTTGGAAATTATTTTCTTCTGTTTCCCATCCAAGTAAAACTATAGCCATCAATAGAACCACAGCCCGTAGTTGCCAATTACACATATCGCTATCTATTGAAAACAAAATCAAAATCATTTTGAGTATTGCGAATTATTAGGCTATGAATATGCTTGTGTTTATAAACGTTTTAATATTTTTTTGTCACACACAATCCAGTTCATAATAAATATTAAGTTACACACACCAGATGTGTTCAGACACAATACCGAGGTGAGCACAATACAATTTATATATACATACATGCAATAAAAAGGATCTACTTACCACTAATTTTACAGGTATTGTACCATCGCTTGATTGCTCCAACACAGTCACAGATGGTAATTGCCTATCTGCAGCGGCGTTATATAATTTCTCTATCACTTCGTCTAGTGAAGCTGTATAAAAGCTGTTTAGGCAACTGGTTCATCATCGTATTTCAAAGCCGACTTAGTCACTTAGCCGAGTCCATACTCGTTGACTTCCAGATGCAGTACTGACCCTATTATCTGAATCTCTAACCATCATTCCGCCGTCAAATAAACAATAAGATATAGCACTTGTTCTTCGATTTTTAAAAATCAGTTATCTGCGCCATAAACAAGTGAAATAGACAAGAATTCCACTGCAATATGTTGACGCGCCATATAATTTACTACAAATACGACCTTCATATCTTCGTTTCCGTTCATCTTATGACGTCACACGGCATCAATATGGCGACGGAAAAGTTCGCACGCGATAACCAACTTCAGAGGTTAAATTTGGCAACTTCTAAGCATCGCATGATGGTCAAATATATATCAAAATGCTTCTAAAAGACTGAATTTTTATTTAAGCTAAAAAAAACTAGGTCCAAAAATTCGCTGCAGTAGCACTTTAAAGTTACGCATTTTTACCATTACATGACGCTATCCCACTTTTCGTACAATAACTCATTGACAACGCTGTGTGCAAATGCAGAATTAGAGTTAACAATCGACCAACCAAATAAAGACGTTCAGACGCATCGTGGCCTGGGGTACATGGCCAAATACGCTTTCTGACGATCTGGAGACTCCAAATTTCCAAAATTTTCTCAATTTTCCTAGTCACATTAAACTGTAAGTAACACTGTCATATTGATCAGTAGTTATTTTACTTATCTTCATTGTTAGGCAGCAGTAAAACATTGAAATGCTATTTCCGACGGTCTAGAGAATTCAAATTTTCAAATTTTTTTGCACGGCGCCAACCATGATAGCGCCTCGCAAAATCAGGTGAATTGAAACAATTCAGGCGGTAAATCCCCCCCCCCCCCCGCCCAAAGGCAAAGTCCTCGCAACGGCCCTGGTCACGCATTCCTATCTTCTGAACTTGGCAGGTCTGTGCCATGCGAATAGCTTGCACGCAAGGAACGTTTGGGATTTTTACGAACACTATTTTTAGTTTTTAATTCTGTTAGGAAATAGACTTGCCTAGATTTAATCTTTACGCCCCAAATATTATTTACGTCAGAGTTGCATCATAAATTGTACACGGATTCAAACAACACAATGTCAATGACTTTATAAAAGTAAAAGCATATTGTGTACTGGCCTACTGGGTTTACACTTTTACAGGTTTATTTAACTTTAAGTCTTTAACTCTCTCAAGTCTTAACAGACAATCGGACATGCCAAATCCATTGATATGAAAAATCCTGGGATACTTTGTTTCTGCTCTCTAGACTCCCCCTCACGGCTCTAGTGCTCCACCCCTAGCTAGAATATGGACCTTACTGGGGTTTGGTGACAGTTTGTGTTGCTTCAGTCACCTGCTCACGGCTCACCCCCCTAAAATTTCTGGCACCACCCCAGTAATAAATATGAAAATCCGTCTATGCTGACACTATAGAAAACTTGAATGTTGGCGAGGAAAACATAGAATGGATAATGTCTCCTCTCAAAATGCCATTGAAGTGTAAGGGACACACAATGGTTTCTCACGAGAACAGTGCGATTTTAACAGGTGGACTTAGTAACGGTGACAATGTTTCAGATGGGATTTACAAAATCAGTCTAAATCCTCCGCATAATCCGAAAATTACTGACCCGAAATTACTGACCCAGATGCCAGAGTCAAGATGTTACCATAGTTGTGAGATGATTGACAACCAGGTTGTACTGGCTGGAGGAAGGGCATCAATATACTTCAAGGACACTAAAAACACTGTGTGCGTATATGACATGAACAATAATGAATGTAAAACCTTACCACCACTGCCATTTGCTATTACTGAGATGGCTAGCGTTAGTTATAAAGGTAATGTAATTTTGATCGGAGGTATTGATGAGAAAGGTCAAACATTAAACAGTGTAGTAATATATGATGTGAAAACAGGAAAAATTAAAATGTTGCCTTGTCTTAATCATAAAAGAGCAGGAAGTGCAGCAGTTATCACTGGCAATGTTATCATTGTTATGGGTGGGTATGTTTATGAAACTAAAACATTTCTCAGTTCTGTAGAGTGTTTAGATTTAAGTAGCAATGTATGGAGAGAACTGTCACCAATGACAACTAAACGAAGTGCTGCAACTGCAGTTGTAAAACCATTATCTTAGAATGTATTTAATTGAAACTATAGTGATAAAAACTGAAAAAGTAATGGCATAATTTATTTAAACATTCATGTCAATTTGTATGCTAAGTGAGATAATTAATCAATGTAGATAAAATATTTTAATTAATTGTTATAATGTAACTTAATCCTTAATAAATGAATCACTTAAAATCACCATTATGACATGAAATGGGACACCTCAGTTTCAATCTCAGTGACACTCATTTTCAAAATCACCATTATAAAATTTCTGCATGCTGAGAACAGACACTTGCTTAATTTAAGTGAACACAAAACAATAGTTTGAAGGTGGACAATGTCATCCATTGTAAGAAGTAGTTTTCATCAGCATTTGTGGGATATGTCTATTGTGAGAGTAGCCTGCTCACAGCCTAAAACTTTGTTTCAAATTTTAAGTGTGGGGCTGCTGAGCAGGTTATTGTGCAAACAAAATATAGAAAATTAACCCATCGAGTAGAATTGACAAGTAAAATCGTCTAGCATTAAACAGAGTAAGATGAAGTATGGCACATCAGACCACATTGCCCTTAATTAAAGGGCTCAATATCAATGCTTTTCAATATGGCGGCGCTTGTGGTGCATGACAAAGTTAAGAGGAATAGGGTGAGTTTTAACACCGATTGGTATTTAGAACATTCCACACTAATTTCTGGGTTGCCTATATCATTTTCGATCTAGCAATGAACGTTGTTTTGGCTGTCAGCTCAACAACAGCAGCAATCCAAAACAATTACTTTCAACTAATAAAAACATGTTTTGAAAAATTGTAGTCAAGGGAGACCACAGGCAAAGGGGCCCAGGAAATATTTTAAAAATTCAAAAACTGTCAATCTAAAACATCTTGTTGAAAAACAGTTTTTCATCAAAACAATTAGTTTCGCTTGATAAAAACACTTTTTGAAAAATTTTGGTCAAACACAAAGGGGG